ACCTCATATGTTATAACATGCATCTTGTTTAGTTTACATACCAGACATCAGTTTTTGTTGTTGTTTCTTGTTTTGTTTTGTGGGGGGATGCTAGGGATTGAACTCAGGGGCACTCAACCACTGATCCACATCCCTAGCCCTATTTTGTATTTTATTTAGAGACAGGGTCTCACTGAGTTGCTTAGCATCTTGCTTTTGCTGAGGTTGGCTTTGAATTCAAGGTCGTCCTGCCTCAGCCTCCCAAGCTGCTGGGATTACGGGCATGTGCCACCATGCCAGGCCAAACATTAGTTTTTACTGAGATATTACAACATACATTCTTCAAAATTGCATTCTATCTAGTGGTTATTTTAATGAGAAATAATTGCATAGTGATTTAAAGCCTTCTCAAAAAATACAAACTTCAAATTATTTTCATGAAGTGAGTATGCCTTTTATACTTAAGCTTAATCTCATCAGTAAATTATTAGCAGAAATAATTTAGGAGCTCATTGAAGGATTAATACATAATGGCAAAGTAGGGTTCATTTTAGGGATGAAAGATTGTTAACTGTTAAATTAATTAATCATATTAATGGATCTAAGAAAAAACACAAGTTAATCTCTATATGTGCTAAATATTCAGTTGAGCAAATTCAGCAATCATTGTGGGTTTATTTTGACGTTTAAACAAATAAGGGCAACTCAATAAAGTAAGAATTAAAGATTTTATGACCATGACAAAATGCTTACACACACCTGCATGTAAACACTTGCTACCACACACACACACACACACACACACAGAGGTGTGTGCACACGCACACACATACACACACAATCTCAGTGCAAATATAGGATCATAATTTATGGCAAAATACTAGAGGTGTAGCTGCCATCCTTGCTAAAATGCCAAATGAGATAAAGATGTACAACCGTACTGGTGATGCTGTACCAGATTACCAACAAAGCATACAAGAAAAAAAAATGAGTTTTAAACAGACAGGTGGAAGGAAAATGTTTTGATGACTAACTATTTAGAAATTCCCAAAGAATCTACCCAAACACTTTTAACCATTACTCAATTTTAGGATCTAGGATAGGGACTGATCAATAAATGAATCTGACTCATTAAAAAAAGTCCTTTGGTTGGGAGTTGGAGAACCAGTCTGGAAAAATTCAAAATAAAAATGATTAACTGGAGAAAAATTCAAAATGACTAAATGGGGAGAAACATTACCAGGTGTTTTCTTTCTGGTGTAACAAAAACTTTTAGAAACAGTTGGGTGGGATTGTGGGGAGTGCATAGCAATAGAGCCATAGGGAAAGAACACCAAGGACGTTCTGTATAAAAAGAAATAAATTGCATTTCAACTTATAAAGATATATTTAAGCCAGGCATGGAGCACATCTGTAATCCCAGCAGCTCTGGAGGCGGAGGCAGGAAGATCATGAGTTCAAAGCCAGCCTCAGCAACTAATTGAGACCTTGTGTCTAAATGAAATATAAAAAAGGTCTGATTATGTGGCTCAGTGGTAAAGTGCCTCTGGATTCAATCCCCGGTACCAAAAAAAAAAAAAAAAAAGATATTCAACTCGACATAAAATGCTAGCTGTTATTTAATTTTGCTTAGGAAGTGAAGGAATATGAATGTCTCTTTCTAGATTTGCTTGCATTTTATAAAGTACTTTTGGAGGAAGCACAGGAAGTAACAGGAATGGTTACCTAGAGAGACCCAGTGAAGGGAGGATGGAGTCCACAGAACAGGAACTGAAATTTACGTAAATACCTTCTCATATTGTTTTCTTCAGTCATGTGAATATACTACCTTTAAATAAAAAATATAGCAAAATGCAAATTGGTAATTATTTTCACATTTGTAAAGTGAGAGATGACACTGTTCCTAATACTATAAAAGTTTGATTCTATAAAGTGTTCATTTGCTGTTTCACACCTTGCAATTATCTATTAAAGTTCTTTATGTTTAGAGGTATTTTCATTCGTCATATTAAATTTTATGATCCTTTAATATATTAAGGAGCCCATATATTTAACATATTTTTACATTTTAAAATCAATTCATCTTATCTTCATTATATATTAACTTATCAACTTATTTTTATTTTGCCAAACCTATTGCTTTTCCTTTGTTGAATTTAAAAAAAAAAAAAAAACACTGCTTTATATTACTATTCAGTTACCAGATAAAAATTTATTTGCTTTTTTCCTGGATATTTTTATTTTTTTAAAAAAGTCAGAATTTGGGGCTGGGGATGTGGCTCAAGCGGTAGCGCGCTCGCCTGGCATGCGTGCGGCCCGGGTTCGATCCTCAGCACCACATACAAACAAAGATGTTGTGTCCGCCAAATACTAAAAAATAAATATTAAAAAATTCTCTCTCTCTCTACCTCTATCTCTCTCACTCTCTCTTTAAAAAAAAAAAAAAAAAAAAAAAGTCAGAATTTATTTGTCATCGACTGGAAAAATAATATAAGTTTTCTCTTAGAGAGCTAATCTATTTTTTCTTGGGATCCTTGTTAAATAATAACTCACCTGTTTCAAGTTCAGAGTTAATAATGTTTCCCCATGTCACTCATCAATACCTTTGTATTGATAAACCAAACTTTTTATTTTTTGGTACATTTAACATCTATTCTTTCTAGCTCCTTCTTATTCTTTTTCTATTTAAAAATTACATTGAGCAGTAGATTTTTCCTTAAGGATCACAGTTTTAATTCCACTTTCTATGTCAACTCTTTTATGTCAATTTAGATTCCGATTACATTTCTTATGAAATAATTTGAAATAAATAGATTCGTAATGTACACCATTTCTTTCAGGAATCAAGTTTGCTTCTCAAATTATTTAATTACCCTTTGTCTTTTTAATCTTGTTTTATTGGTTTTTTATATAGTACCAGAACATTCCTTTTCATATTCATTCCTGAGCATTGTGTAGATTTTCCCCTGCATATTGCTGAGATAGGGAATGATGTATATGATATTTATTGATTATTTAATTGTCATTCATCATTTATTTTGTCTCCAAACTTCTCAGAACTTGATATTTTACTTCTTATGGTATCTTGGGTAATTTGCTTAACTTTCTTTATTGCATAATTGTGGAATTATGGTGCAATGACAAAGAATATGGGAAAATGGACTCAGGTAGAGGTTCAGTTATAGAAGATTCTTTGTCGTGATTGGAAAAAAGTTACTATGTTCTCCTTGACATGCTCATAGAATGTTTTCCCCTTTGGAGTAGTTATAATTGTCATCTCTTCTCTTTCTCTCCTATTTGCAAAGAATAGATACCAGGGTATCTTATCTTTACTCTAAAGTACAGTAAGGATACTTGTGATTTGCTAGTAGGTTTGAAGTTGTTCAGAATTTTCAGTCTGTTTATTTTATTGATAATTATTTTTTTAAGGAATGTGTACTGAATTTTGTCAAATGCCATGTATAAAGATTAAGCTGAGAGGATTTGGAGCCCAGCTCCACCACCTACTAGGATAGTATCACAACAGTGGGTCATCTGTTCCTTCTCTCAGTTTCATTTGCAAAATGGGAGATGATCTTTGTATCTGCCTCACAGGGGTCCTATGAATGACATAGGACTTATAACCCTTAATGGGGTTTGCCTACAGTTAAAATAGAGTAGACATTCATTAAACAATAGCTACTGTCATCTATTAAGGTGATGGGATGATTTTTCCACAGGGCAACTTACATTGAAGAAGGTCCAACTGGCATCTCAGCCGTGGCTCAATTTAAAAAGAACACTTGTGTGTCCACCTCATGTTTGAGTACTATGGTTTAATTCTCAGTAGATTGGAATCCACTCTCAATCCACTCTTCTTTGTCTATCAGCAAGGTTAAGAAACATGTCTGTCTTCTGTTTTTGAGGGCTCTGTTTATTCAATTAGAGGAAGGAAGGGTGGAGTTGAGTCAAATACTAATTTTTGAAACACTTTGTTTTTTTAGTTCTTTTATTATGGTAGATATGTGGGTATGCTTTTATCTTGGTACACTAATAAACATAATACTTAGAAAGTTTCAAAGCACTGGAAAGTTTAGTCATGTATGGATAGACCCGTCAGCATGAACCTCAACACCACCTACCATTAGTGAGCCTCTTAAGTTATTTCCCTTATTTTAATTTTCTGTTATAATAGGTTATTTTAGTGTTCTGTGGAAACCTAACCTGATATTATTAACATTTTTATGGGACATTAAGTTTTGTCCACTGTCACAGTTAATAAATCTCACTCACTTTGCTAGAAATATAATTTGGATACTGAAAATTGTGCAGCATATACAATTTCATTTTATTAGTATGTATTTTACAATTGTAGTTAAACCACCTTTTAATTTTGTTAGCATGTGTTAAATGATTGATTATGTAATAGACATAACAGTGCCACTTATGCCAAAAATATATGCACACCTATTGGAGGAGATATTTTCCTTAGAATGGAGGGACTTTTGAGAGAAAGATGGTGTGATTTCCCCATGCCTTTGTCTACCTGCCCACGCCATGCTGGTGGGCGGTCTGTGACGTGGTAGGGGGAACTTCCCTCATGCCTCCTTGCCATTGCTGTTCCAGGGCAAGTTTCTGATTCTCTCTTCAGCAGTCTTCCATGTTTCTGTGAACTTTGGCAGAAACTTCTGGATTCCTTCTACAGAGACTTAGATGATTCACTCCATTCTTCTCTGCCTACTGAAGCCTTCCCTCTGGTACCCTGTCACATCTGGCTGCTCCATGGGTGGAATTACCCTCCCATTTGGTGTCCAACAGGAATTCTGGGCATGATCAGTACTCAGCTCCCTGTTGAATGTATTCTGATCCCACGTTCCGTGGATTCTACTCTGGAAGGAGAAGTGGTCCACGCCTATCTTCTACTTCTGTTTTCCTTTGCCTTCTCACCCTCCTGGCTGAAGTGCCACTTGCATCACATCCTTCTGAGGGTAACCTTGTGTTCAGCTTCCGCTGACAGATGGTGTTTCCCCTCTCTACTACAGAATCCAGAGACCAGATCTAGATCCAGTGTCATTTTCAAGACCAGAGGCTTGGGAACCCTAAGCAGTAGGAATTTTTCGAAACGGAGGTGGTACTGGTTGAAGTCTCAAAGGAACATAGTTCAGTGAGTAGAGTGAGTGATGATAACAAGGACACAAGCCAAGCTGCCTGGTTTCCTGTTCTGGGGCTGCCACTTACTGGCTGTGTAACTTGGGGTAAGTTATGCAATTACTTTGTTCCTTAAATTTGTCATCTTTAAAATGATGATAATAGCAGTACCTTCCTTAAAAAGTTGTTGTAAAACAAAAATTAGTCAATAACACATGAATAGCTGAGAATAGAAAATGAAGATAGCCCTGGCTATTAGTTAACTAGCATGATTATTTTTTATTTATTTATTTTGGTACTGGGAATTGAACACAAGGCTACTTACCACCGAGCCACATTCCCAGACCTTTTAATTTTTTATTTAGAGACAAGGTCTCCCTGAGTTGCTTAGGGCTTCACTAAGTGGCTGAGGCTGAATTTGTGATCCTCCTGCTTCTGCCTCCTGAGCCCCTGGCATTACCGGAGTACATCACCACACCTGGCTAGCTACTATTATTTTAATGTTATTATTAAAAGTAAAAATTTGTCTTTCTTTTCTGTATTTGAAGAGGTAGAATGTGAGTAGAATATGGTAAGGTCATTGGTAACTGAAGGGAAACAGGTGACTTCCTATTGGAGATTAAATTAAAAAAAAATAGATTAAGAAATGTGAGTGCCTTTAAGGAGGGCTTTGAAAGTGCCATAGAATTTAGACATACCATGATAAACAACAGGAACACTTGAAAATTGTAAACACTGGAGTGATTGTATTACAAAAGTAGCTCGATGATTTACATTAGTTCATCAGGAGCTAACCCAGTATAATCAAAGCATGAAACAGATATAGTTACAGGAATTCAGCCTGGAGGTGATGCAGGCCTGGACTGTGCCATTGCAATTAGTAGTGGTGACAAAGGAAACCAGAGAGGGTTGTCGGCAATCACAGAGGGCATCTGGACAAGGCTGCTTCTGAATATGGGATAGTGGTTGCCTGGTGCTGGATTTGGTAGAACTGGAGAGTTGGAAGAACAGGGCGTTGCCTGGAGGAAAAATTTTAATTTTAGGTTTCTCAACTTTGAGATTGCAATGGGAAATTCAAAGAAAAATATCCCAAAAGCTAGAATTAGCAAACTTTTTTTTTTAATAAAGAGCCAGACAGTAGTCTTTGTAGACCAGATAGGGTCTTTGTCACATATTATTTGTAATGCTTTTTCCTAATCTCTTAAAAAAAAAAATATATATATATATATATATATATATATATATATATATATATATATGTATATATATATAAATGCAAAACAAAAACCAGCTGTAACCTGATTTGGCATCCCCTTCAATGGTCTATTTCAAAAGAACAGATGCTGGACTGAGATGTGGGATCTAGAGATCCAGATTAATCTTCAGCATGTTAGTAATTTAAACAATCATGAGTGAACATGAGTGGTATTATATATTTATGTATATTTGTTATTGTGTTGTTTTTCTCCATGGTGCCTGGCTTGTAACCCACACAGCCAGTCCTAGTAATTTTATGTGTGAGTAGATCAATGCGACATCTTTTGTTAGAGTTCCAGGGATGAAGGCTAAAGACACTCCCTGGTTGCAGTGTTGCAGTGCCTTGGGCTGCAGTGCCTTAGGCTCCAAGTAAAGTCTCTCTATGACTTTCTCCTGCCCTTATTTCACTAGTTTCTTTTTCTCCCCAAGAAAAGCCACTTAAACCACAATTTCTCTTCCCCAGTGCAGGCCATAGAAACGAAAAATATACTTATCTTCTTTTACCTTTTTGTCTTGGAAATGGACACAAAGATACTTTGTGATGTACCTTATCTGATAGTAAATCATTAGACCCTATTTCTAAGGGGTTCTGCCCCATACCTGCAAGGAAGGACTGCTTCCCAGAGAGATGAGAAGAAACTGAATGAACAGGCCTTCCTGGGTTTCCCTACTCGGTCTGTTGGCAGCAGATTATGCCTATGTGGTTCAGTCACATTTCCACACGGTTGTCTATGCTCCATTTGTGCCTGTGCAATGACATCTTCGTGAAAACATGCAGAAGGATAGGGATTCCAAAAGCCGAACATGTGGAGGCTCACAGATAGGTGATTGGGCCCTCAGCTTCATGCTGGGAGGTCGAAATCCACCTCCACGCATGTATGCCCAGAAGCCTTCCAGACTTTGCCTTTTGTGTCTCATCACCTGGATGTTCATTTGCATCATTTAAAATATCAAAACTGGTAAATGTGTTTCCTAAATTCTGTGAGCTGCTCTAGCAAATCGGTGGAGCCTAAGGAGGGGTGCATGGAAACCCAAACTAGGAGCTAGTCGATCAGAGGTTCTGGAGGTCCAGATTGTGACAGGTGTCAGAAATGAGACAGTCTTGTAGGACTGAGCCATCACCTTGTGGGATCTGACACAATCTCTAGGTAAATAGAGCAGATTGGAATCAAATTAGCCAATGTTCAGCAGGTATCCATTGAAGACTTGATTGGTTTCCTGCTATTGGGGAGAAATACCCATGCACTTTTGGGTTCTAGAAGTGATCTGTTGTGAGTGTACATACAGTAGGACAAACTGAATTTGAGTGGTTTTTTTGTTTGTTTGTTTATTTGACTCAACATGGATATGCATTATTAAAATATTATTGTTAAATTACATAACTATTAAAACAAGAATTTTTGTCCAGAATTAGATTTTATAAATCATGACTCACTTCTTGTGAGCCCAGGAATTCTAGCAAATAGATATAAAAGTAGATTCAGTAAAATTAATGAGGATTTTTAAAAATGTTTTTTAGAATTGAACATAATATTGCAGGAAATTCCTGATTTTATAATCCTATGGAAATTAATGCAAAATAATGTTTACTTATCACAGAGAGAAAAAGTAATATTTCTGGTTTATGAGATTATCATAAAATAGCCCATAAGAACTGTAGCAAACTCCACTTGGATCAAGGAATTAGAATACTTATGCTTTATGGGATTGAAGAATGTTCTGTTCTTCTAAAATTGACCAAAGGATATGGTTTAGAATTTAAATAAAAAGTTTTGGTTCTGTAATTCAGCCCAAGTTGATAAAAATCAAGGGTACGATTTGAAGAAACCTCTCAAACTAGCCATTAATTAATGAGTCATTTGTTCTTTTAACTCAAGTAGATCACTAGAGATTAAATATGCTTTCCTAGTAGAATTTATTGATTGCAAATTTAACCAACATATTTCCAGAAATATGTTGTATTTTCCCCCAATATAACCAGAAAATTATTTTGTTTCTTTTAAGATGATTCCTTAGTCCAGATAAACTGATGATCACTGCAAAATATTACTTTCATATGGATGCAAAAGTTCAGGTTATTGAAAGTAGTTTTGGACTCAATATTATGCCAGGCACTTAAGTACCTGAGTGTTGGAGACATTGACAAATCACATTTTTCTTAATTTTTTTTAAAGATAAATGGGAATATAACATATCTAAGAACTAATTCAAGTGAAAATAACTGAAACAAGGTCATGAAGGGCCTCGGTATAGGGGTGGGTTGTGTGTGTATCACAGTTGTCTTAAATATTTAAAATATCAGATGAAGAAGTAGATTTATTCATTCATTTGTCTGTCTCTCCATCCGTCCATTTATTCATCCATCTATGCATACATACATCCTTCCCATTCAATTATAATTTCTTTAAAAAATAACCTTTTAGGGCTGAGATTGTAGCTCAGTGGTTGAACGCTTACCTTGCATGCCTGAGGCATTGGGTTCAATCCTCAGCACCACATAAAAAATAAATAAAATAAATAAAATGAAGATATTGTGCCTACCTACAACTAAAAATAATTTTAAAAATAACCTTCTATATCTAGTCATCATACATGTACTAAAGAACCAAAGTTGAGTAGTATAGACTTCACTACAGAAGCTCCTACTCTAGTGCCGAGGCTCCCAGGTTCAAGGATGTACTTACTAGCTAGGTAAAGTAATCAGCTTTTGTTTCCTCCTCTGGAACTCTGGATAATGATATCTGACTCAGAAAGTCATCCCCGTCAGCAGAATGAGGTGTTGTGAAAGTACTAAAAAATGCTGTAAAAGATACTTTATATCATAGGGATATTTTTTTGAGGAGAGATTATGAACTCATATTTTCAGAATCTTTAGATTGAACGTATATAATGAATTGGTTATCTGTTGCTTTGTGAAAAAGAAAAAAAGATTTTTTAAAAATTCAACATTTAGCAATTGAAAATCACAACATTTATTATTTCTCATGATTTTGTTGCTTGACTGATTTGGGGGTTCATTGGAAATCTGTTCACTGCCCTGCCTGGGGCCTTGGGTCTGGTGGTGGCCTGAGTTATGAGTCATGCAGTTAGGTCCTTCATTCAGTAGTCCAGCTGGATTTTCTCACTGCCACGAGAAACTTTCAAAAATGGAGCAAACAGAATGGCAAGGTCTCTGAGATCCCAGCCTTGGAGATCACACACTCCTTTCACCATATCCTCCTGATCAGAGCTAGTTCTAGGGGCAGGGCCTCGAAGATATAAAAGAAGGAGAAGCAGATAAAGGGGCAAAGTCAGAGTACCAAAGGACACAAGAGATGGGAGGGATTGTAGCCATTTCACTTATTAACCCACATTGTATATGTGGCGAGGATTAATTTCCCATGTGGTAAGAATGTAAATAATTTATTTTTCTATTCATGATGCCAACATTTTTTTAAATTTCAGTAATCCCTACTAGCAAATAATAGCATGAAACAAGATAAACTTTAAGTCCTCTTACAGTTCATGCTAATGGTTTGTGATTAAAAGATTCGGCAACCACTGCTCACTGGTGTGTCATGAGGGAAGGTTCTGTGTGTGCCTGTGAGAAAATCTAGTAGTTTGAGAGCACTGAAGTCTTAACTTGATAGGTACACTGTCTTCAGTGTTTAGTAATAAGAGGTAAATTCTGCTGTCTCAACTCTTACTTTTATACATCCATGACAAGAAGATAAATATTTTAGTTCGGTTTTTTCTCTTATCTCCATGCATAACCAAAGATTAGAGATCCTAGAGTTGAGGACGGGGAATGGTTTAGTTTTTTTTTTTTTCCTGTTAATTGAATAGTTTTGATGTTATTTCTAATTAGATA